GTTCTGCATTTTTTATTTTACTTCATTGTGCTAATTTTAGATTTTTTTCAGCTTCTGTTTTACTTGATTATTTCTGCTGTTTTTAATATTTTTGCTAATGTTTTTGTGTTTATCAACTTCTTTTGATCAGTTTCTTCACTGCCAGCTTTCATTTAATTTTATTATGTACAGTATACATTTACAGTATATACAGTGTATGTATATATATATATATATACACATATACTGTGTGTGTGTGTGTGTGTGTGTGTGTGTGTTCTGTAATTAATGCTACTTTTTGCTATTTTCAGCTAATGTTAGTCTTTTTCAGTTAAATTCACCTTTTTGTGAGAATTTTAGCTACATCTTTCGGCTACTTAATTCAGCAAACACACTCTAAAAATGAAATGTTGGATTTACTTAACCATGTTACGTTACCTGGTTCCACTTAACTGAGTTGAGTAAATTCAAAGCAACATGCTCATGTTCTTTGGTTAAAAAACTGGTATATTGCTTTGAATTTACTCAACTCAATTAAGTGGAACCAGGTCACATAACATGGTTAAGTAAATCCAACATTTCATTTTTTACAGTGCACGCTCTTTCTGTTTCTTTGTACTAGATTCATTTTGTCAGCAAATTTATAGCTACTTTTCTCCTATTTTCAGCTTTTTGGCTATTTGACAACAAATTACAAAATTTTTGTACATCTTTTGTTTTCCCTGCAAAAATCTTTTAGCAGCATTTAAGCAACATTTTCACCAAAAACACAAATTCCCTGAATGTTTTTTCATCTATTACCAAGAGGACAAATCTCTATTTTTTCTCAGACTGGTTTATCTTCCCAAGTATCCAAGAAAATAACATCAACATTAAAGTTAGCTGCTTCATGATTTTGATGGGATGTTAAAATATGCGTGTTGAAATATGAGAAATTTTGTTTCGAGGTGTTACTTTGCCAAACAATAACTGGCTGCTGCTCGGTTCAGAAAGGTGAAAGTTTTATTTTCTCATCTTTTATTACTTAGAGCAAATAAAGGACATGAAACTGGTGATGTAACAGCAGCTCAAACTCATCTTGCTTAACTCAAAATTTTCACAGAAGAGCATTGGCAGCACTGCTAAATATTGCAAACGATTCTGAGGGGAGAGCGGTTCACTCAGGGACATGTTACAGTACGAGCACATCTAAATAATGACAGAGCTTCTATTCTCTGTCTAATGCAGTTTAGTTGCTCTTCATCGAGCATGCACAGACTTTTTCCTCTCAAAAACCTCCCATTTGGCTTTGCAGTCCCTGTGTCGAAAAATATTTGGTGTACATTTATAAAAAGAAAAAAAAATATTCTTAGAGATTGCAGAACAAACGAAATTAAACGTTTTATGTTAAGCTTGCAAGAAATTAGTTCAAATTTAAAAAACAACTTTAGATTTAAATGCATTTGCAGTAATTGTTGCAAATAAAAAGATAGAAGCAGAAAATATAATGTAAAGTGTGTAAAACCAGTATAGACAAGGATGTTCAATGGTTTTAATGCCTACAACTGTAATAAACATGTATTCGAGTAGATGCATAATGTTAGATTTTAACTCAAATTTGAAAAGAGCATATCATTATTATTGAATGACTCGTTTAAAACTGCAAGAAACTACACAATGTTCTAACATGCATTAGTTGTATGAGGTCATAAACAGGCCATCAACCTTTAACAAATGTGTTAAAGCAGAAAACCACGAGCCTCCAAATAAAAAGATCAAGGAAAAATGAAGAACCAACTTCTTCTTGAGCTAATATTTGGAGTCCAGACTGTTTGAAAATGGTGTGTGTACAGTGCTGAGGCTTTGATAAAGAAGAGTGCACCTCAGCAAAATTGGCCAAACATCAGAGTTTTTTCCTCCCCTGAGAGAGCAGGACTGTTTCTGCTTCTCGCAGCAATAAATCAAAACCAACATAAAAAAAAAAAATCTGCAGCTTCAGGTGACACAGTCTCACAGAGACGGTGCCGAGTCCTGAACTCACTGCTGATAAACTCAAGACTCAACTGACAGAAAGAAAGACGAGATATTTAACATCCACATTACTTATTACTGTTTTCTTTGTTATGAAAATCTCCTCGGTGTCTCTGCTGCATGTTAGCCTGGAAAAATACAATGCAACAACTAAAGCAGCTTTCTCCTGACCTGAACACAAACAGGTTTAAAAATACACAGAACTGTCTGAATTAATTCCAGCTTCTCCGCTTAAGTGTTTAATTGCCTCTTTTGATTTCTGGAGCAAAGTGGATGTGAAAAATTCAATGCATCGTTTGTGTATGAGCCACTTCTAGGCTCTCCTTATTAAAACCAATTGCTCCAGGAAAACAGATCTTTAAAAATCAATGTATTCTGTTGCACATAAATAAGCCTGAGGCTGGCCAGCCAAACATTTCTCTCAGGCTCAAACGATTTGTAAAACACAGCATCTGTCATGCTTAATTTTACTTTTCCATTTCTTCGTTAGAAATCTTGTAAGAATGACACAGCAATGTGTCAAATATAGTTTTGCCATCCTAAACAAGGAATGATAAAACATTGAATTTAGTCCATCGAAGAGCACATAGGACAGCAGGCCTGTCAAACTGAGGGTTTGTGCCACACACAACAGCTTCATTGTTGCCTACATTTAAAAACTTGATAGTTAGCGCCATCGTGTGGCTCTTCTGTAGAAGAAATTAAACTACATTCATTTCCTATTACTGTAAAATTTCACATCATTTAAGTAGAAACTGACACAATAGAAATGTAACAATATTTTGAAATATGAGTCATTCTTCAAAGAATAAGATAAGATAAGATAAGATAAGATAAGATAAGATAACATAACATAACATAACATAACATAACATAACATAACATAACATAACATAACACAGACTTTTATTGTCATTACAGAGCACAATGAAATTACAGTTCAGAACACCCATTCACAAGAAGACAGAACATAACAAACATAGGAGAACAGGTGCTCTGGGTCATGCAGCCACAGACCCTGCACAGAGCAAGGATCATCTTCATGAAGACATCGTGAGGAGGTGCTACCCTTAACAGAAAAACTAAAAACCACACAAGGGAAGATGAGGAAAAAACCCATCATATTATGTCAACGAAATGTGACACACCATGGTGTTGATAAAGGAAAGTCTGGGTCTCTCTGCTTAGTTTGCTGCCCCCACGACCCGATTCTGGATAAGCAGCAGAAAACGGACGAATGGACGGACCTCTGCTTAGAGCACATTTATTAGCCAGAGAAGTAAGCTGAGTTTAGGGGGGCGTGTATCTGAAGCCATGAATGTTGTATGCGCTTGTGTGAATATCTGAAAAATGAGCCAGAAGAATCTAGTCCCCAAAAACCCACGCAGCCACAGTTCAGAATATGGATGTCAACTGTTCATTCTGTGCGACCCTCAGCTTGCTCCAGGAACTGGATCACAGACGGGAGTGAGATGGGGGGAAAGGTGGGGAGCAGACCCTCAGTCGACGTAAACATCTGGGAGAATTTAGTTCCACGGCTCTTCAAGGCCATGTAGGAGAGCCAAATCTGTAATGTTGTTTGGGAACAGAAGAAACTGTTTTCAGCCAGGCAGACAATAACAATTTTCCATCTGCCTTAATAAGCCTGTGGGTTTCAAAGTTGTTCATTCAAGTAAAAAAAAAAAAGCTGTGCTGATAAAGTTTTGGTTTGTGAAGTTTTGGCAGCTTTTTTTATTTTAATTACTTTGTGTCACATCTACCACTCAAGATTTAGTGCACAATTATAAAGTATTAATGGCAACAAGTAAAACAATACATAAAAATAAATACGTTAGCTCAAATTAACCATTTTTGTTTTCTTATGGTTTTGATTTAAATTTAAACAAGTGACTTAAAATCAAAAGACCTGAACTGGAGAAAAGTTTGACCTTTTAGTTTTCTTTCCTTCCTCTTAAATCAAACATCCCAGGAACTCTTTGACTTATTTGATCTGTCTGTGTAAATCTAAGGCAAACACGGGTTGAACTTGTTCCAGTTCTAGCAAAAAATATGCTGTTTATGTGCTCAAATCTCAATTATCTGATGTCACGTTGACCAAAGAAAAACGTGAAGGAACTATAGATTTTTAGGTATTTTATTAGCCTATATACGTGTAAACTTCTTTTTAGGACTGGGCCATTTAAACCATAGGTTTTATTTAATTTCTCCTAATACTTCAATACAACTGACACTAACAAAGATATAAAGCTGTTTCTTCCACAGCTGAGAGGAAATTTCCACCAACCTCATGGTGACAGTCTGAACCTCCCCTTTTGCTAATTTACATCACAAGTCTAATCTGTTCATAGAGATGTAAAACAATCACATGTGCTCAAACTCAAACCTTCAGGGTATAAATATCATGTAAAAAAAAGCCACATACTGTAAATATGTTGGGACTATCAAATTAAATGTTAATAGGATCTGCATCAGGACCATTTCAATTAAAAAAAATAAGAGTTTCTTCTAAAGTTTGGTTCATACATAATTAAGATATTCTTGTTATTTTATATTTTACATTTATTAGCACTGTCTGAGACAAAGGGTGCAATTTATTTGAATCTGGGTGACAGAAATCCATCAAATCACCCCAAAAAGATGTCAGTAAAGGCCCAAAAAAGATTATTCACAGTCTTTGTTTAGAAAAGTATGGATCATTCTAGTCTACTCATTCTGAGAAAAAAAAGCACATCCTATTTATTGTGCAACAAAAATCCAAAAATCATCCATTGAGGAGGTTTACAGTTTAAATCAGGACTGTTTTCCCTCAGGTAAAAACTTTCAAAGCATTAACAGCAGGTCTACGTGCAGGACGTGAAGCATCCATTGTTTGGGGGGTGGGATCTTTTCCTCGCTGTGGGCGGGGAGGAGGAGGTTACCAGGCAGATCAGCGCTGAGAACGTGCGCCGCAGCCTGATTGGCTAAAAAAACGTGGTGAGGCGTTCGTGTGCCTATTTAAGGCTTTGGTCCATTGTCGCGAGTGTTTTCTACAGCTGCTCCGGTTTAGGAGTAGGAAGGAGGGAGGACAGCTGATTGAGGATAACATCGCACTTTTTTTTTAAAAGATTGATTTTATTGTTTTTGTCTTTTAACGACAATCAAGACATTTGTTTTATAAATGTCTTTTTCTTGCAACCAGTCTCTGGATGGCAGTTTTCCTCCGTCTCCAGCGGAGGACAGGGGCTCTCAGAGGCTGTCCTGGATCAGCCTGCTGCAGAAGCTCACCGAGCTGAAGGGCAGCAAACACGAGCACCGGCTCTGCAGGAGCGAATCAGGTACTTTTACTTTTATAATGCTCATTTTTTTAAATCTGTGTTTTGAATAATTAAAAGTTTAACTTGAGGTCTTTGTTTCAGGATCTGCGACAGATGTGTCCCTGTGTGAGTCAGACTCCACTTTCTTCTGCTACCCCCCAGAGGAGACCTTGGCTGCAGGGGTGGTGGCCACCATCACACAAAGCCTCAACAATGGGTTCCACGTCCTGTGCTGCTCCAGACTCAACCTGCCTGGCCGTCTGATGCAGAACCTCTCAGAAGAGTTGCTCCACCTAGCTGTGAACGAGCCCTGTGGGCTCAGGGGGGCCCTGATAGACCTGTGCGTGGAGACTGGGGACCAGGGCTCATTGTGCACTGTAGATCAAATCGCAGTGGATTCCACCCTGGTCCCAACTTTCCACGTGACCCTGGTGCTGAGGGTCGAGTCCGGCGGACTGTGGCCAAAGGTCCAGAAGCTCTTCAAAGGTGGGAAGTCACCTTCTGCGGCGCAGCAACGACACCACAAGACCCTGAAGCTGAGCACCAGCTTCAGGGCCATCAAGAGGAAACTGTACAGCTCAGGAGAGCTGCTGATTGAAGAATGTTGATTTTCAACAAGCACACATGCCTTGACTGCAAAAAGTTTTTTTTTTTTTTTAAGTAAAACACTACCATAAACTCTGAATTGCACTGACATAAAGGTCCCCAATCAAATCTGTGCCACGATTTTAATCTGAGGACCAACTTGTCTCATGGCAGCTACTCGCCTGGACTCGTCAGTAAAGATTCATGTCTGAGCATGAGTCGACTCTTTCCCACAAATGTGACGAGGCTCCTATGAGGCAATTATTTGATAGTCAAATGATACTGCCTGGATCATGTTTTATACTTGAAAAACAGAATAAATTATTTTCTATTACATCTGAGTGCCTTTGTTCCTTGTTCCTACACTTTTTAAGTTGATTTTTCTGATTAAAATATCAATTTTGTAGCACAGGTTGCTATGAAAATGCCGTTGGAGTTGTGCAAATTCAACAAGCTCAAAGAACTATAGCTTAAATATAATTTGTTTCAAATATTTAAGTACATCAGGTCTAACAGTTTCACTAGTTGAATTTCTGAATTTCAATGGGGTTTCCATAAAAATGTCAGCATTTTCTGATAAAACTGCTTCACATAATCTCAGAATGGTGTGTGTTAAAGGTTCATTAAGGTTATCACAGCTTGTTTTAAACGAAACAAGTACTCATTGGACAAATTTTATTCAAATAAATGTATACAATTTTAGCTTGTTAATTTAATAAATATGTCTTTGAGCTGTGCAACAATTTTTTTTCATTATTCCAACAGGCTACAAGCAAATCCACAAAACATTGCAAATGACTCCTGCACTGTTAAAAGATGAATATTTACATAGGTAAGAACTATAAAAAAAATTACATCTTCCTCATGAGTGGCTCAGACAGTCTTGGTCTGTGAGAAGGCCTTGAGGTTTTTTTTTAATTATCTAGGGAAAAAAATGTTCAAAGCTAATCTCAGCAGCTTTTAGTTTTTTTCAAATAGATATCGATGTTCCATTAAGACCGGACTCGTTGCTGCCGGGAGAGGAGAGTAGGAAAATATCAGCAGTCAAGTCAAAGCTTCTCACAGTTCGACAGGACGTCAGTTTAAATCGAGCTGCAGGAAGGTGCCTCCGACGAGGCCTGCTGCTCACAAACATAAGGCATGTTTTCATTTTCGTGGTTTGCTGCAGAGAAATGCTCCAATTTGAGTGGGATCCGACTGATTTCTTCGTTCGATTCAAGCCTATTAAAAAAAAAAGAAAACAAATCAGACTGATCTGTATCTAACCTGTGCTTTTGTGGGCACGTTCTACGTTAAATGAGGCCACCCGTGACGTTAAAAAAAAAACATTTTCAAAAACACTTCTGTAAAAACTTGACCCTTGATCAAGATACAGTCAATAATAATCGACAGTGACCAACCTGGATCTGCTACTGACGTCTGCAATCTGACATAAACAGAGCTGACCCTTCAATATCTGGTACCAGATTAACAAACTATGATAAGCTAACAGCTGAAGAAATGCTGACTGGATGACTAAACATTTTAGGAAAATAAAGTCCTTACAGCTCATGTTGTGGTATAAGGACAGAATAACGATGTCTGCAGAAACCTACCTGTGTTAGTGCAAGTATTTTCTACCCATCCAATATAATCTGAATCTCAGATAGTTTGGAACAGCTAGGAGTCCCCATTCTTTGTGCTCTTTGGTATAATTCTGAGTCTCCAAAGTAACGAGCACGATACAGCAAGCCTTCCTCTGAAAGAACAAAAAGAGTCAGTCAGTATCACTGTCCATTTTCTTATAGATTCAAAACTCTACTAATCCTTTACAGGACAGCAACTTGTGTAAAATCCAGGCACATTTTCAGTGCTCTGAGTGTGAACAAAGTGCTTCCACATGTCTGAGGCTAGGAATATACCTGAATGCCAACATAAAAGAAAAACAGCGACAATAGAGCCTTTTTTAACATTACTTCTGCATTTCCAACCATAAACTTCACATCTTTTTAGACAGAGAAAAATAATGTAGTGGAATTTTAAAAAAGACATGCGCAGTTTCTTTAGAGTGAATGAAATAGATCCTTAGGACATAATTTATCAGAAAAAAAGGAAGGAAGTGAAAGTGTGTTTGGTAGATTACTTTTTGTTGTAACAATGCTTCTTGGCAATAAATCTAATAATAGGCAGACGTTCAAAACAAGTCTTGATAGCAACAGCAAAATAAGCTGTTTGCAAGAGAAGATGCAGCCATTTTTTTCTTGTGCTCAACCCACATACTCAGCTCTACTGCTCATCCCACAAATGCATGTTCCTTACAAATGTGGCACCATTTAAAAGGGAAATTAACAGGCTTTCCAACAGTGTAAGATTTATCGCCAAAAAGCATTGTTACAACAAAGAAATAATCTACCAAACACATTTTCTTCCTCTTTGTGCTAAGTATAGTATCAAACTCTACAAGTAAACTGAATATTTCAAAACCACAAGGAAGCTGTGTGAATTTGCTAAACGTCAGATCATCTTGATTAGCATAGGAGGCTATTGTTAAGTCTGATTGCATGTTTGAATAGGTGAGCGAGTGATGGGAGAACTTGTTCAGACCATCCCCCATAGACATGCATGAGTTCTTAGCACCTAGTCTGAAACTGGAGCTAGAAAGCAATTTAAACAACTATGTATAGCTACAGTACAAACACTACAAATAGTTGTAGGAAATGTAAAAAGATTCCTGTGGTTCAGAAGCACCAAAAATCATATTTTTCTACACAATCTTAAAATGCCTGTGACACACCTATACTTCAAATACAAAAAGTCAAAGAAAGCAACTTTACATTTAAAATAATTGGCATAGTACACATGATTTTACCCATTTTGTCACATAACTGGCCTATTTTCTTTTAAATTTGGCTCAGCCAAAGTGAAACAGGAAGTGACATCAAAGGGGAGCTCATTAATAAAATAAACTTGCTGGTCTCTGTTTATTAATAATGAAAAGAAACATCAGATTCTTCTCTACAGTCTGTGTTGTTAGCTTTTGTAACAATGCTCTGTTTACATGCAGACATTCCCCTTTGACATCACTTCCTGTTTCTTCACATGCCAATATTTCATCAACCGTTCATCTGAGCGACGTGAAATTTGTTTTTCAACATGTTATCAATGTTATCTTTCCAAAAATGAATTCAAGTTTATTATAAAAAATTGATGTCACAAGCACTTTAAAGTGAAGGGAACTGCTGTGGTTTTTATGGCTGAATGTGTTTTTTGCTGCTTAAATTTTCTAGACAATCAATGAATACCTTCACTTCTTATTAACCTAGTCTTGTCAATTCACTGACGAAGGAAAAGTAATCAATAATAAATAGATCTTTAACATTGAAAACTCACTCTGCTGCTTCTCTTTCCAGCAGTTGTTTCTTAGATTAGAGATGTAGTCTTCTTCTACACTTCTCTCCACATTCTTCAGGTTATTGCCTGTAAATTCTTCATTGAAACGCTCCCCCACATAAAAAGGCACCTTTAGGTGTGATGTATGCCTTTTGTGAATATGTCCAGCTGACCTATTAAACAGAAGGTACATGAAATGAAAATAAGATAGATGCTCAAGCGGTTTTGTGCAAAATCTAAAAAAAAAAAAAAAAAAAAACTGGGACAAATCTGAAACACTTACTGACGATAGCTAAGGCTGTATGGAGGCTGTGTCACCATCAGCTGGCTGAGAGCAGAAACAATGATGAGGATTAGGATGGGCAACAGCTGGACAAGCAGAGCAAAACCTCCCTGTTTTGATAAAGAAAAGAAAAAAAAACAATTGCATATTACAGATCATACTGTACTTGTATTTAATCAAGTTTATCTTAGACTTAGGACTTACATCTCTCTGCTGTTCCCGTCTTTCATGTCTATTCTGGTGGGGAAAGTGCATTCTTCCATTTCTGTAAACATGTACATTACCTAGGGGAAAAATATTAATTTAGTGGTGCTGTGACTATAACTTAGGTGACATTTCAGCTCAAGAATGCACATATTTTCAGCACACTCAGTTACAACAAAACTGTATCCCTGATTATGACATTCATTTTGACTTTTCCATACATTAAATTTAAGGCCTTCGCATTCTCCCTCCCAACTGCTGAAATCGTCTCTCGTCTCAGTTTCATGATGAAAATTGTGTCATTTTGTTTGCAGCTTTGAGTCTTCCACCCCTTCTTGTTACAATCCGTGTGAGAACTTTTCACCCCCTCTGCATGAGAACCTACTAGATTGTAGAGATGTGACGTTCGTGAACGATCCAAATCTTTTGAACGGCTCTTTACAACGAACGATAGGAGCCGAATCGCGGGCAGTAACGAGCCATTTGTTTTTTCAAACTTAAATTGCTCCCGCTTTGCTTTTTCACGGAAAACAGGCAGAGTTGTGGAGTACAGAAGCTCACGGTGAAGTGGGGAGGGGGGTTTCCGCTTGACAAACATGGTTCCACCCACGTGACGGGATGACCTCATTACGTACGGCTACGTGACGACTTATTTCCCTAAGTGATGATGTAATATGTTCAAAATCGAATAGCTCTTTTGAACGGCTCTATGAAACAAGTAGCTCCCCAAGATCCGGATCCCTTCAAAGAGCCATTTGTCCCATCTCTACTAGACTGGTCAGAGATTCGTGGGTGTGTTTTTTATGCTGAAAGAACCTGGATGCTGCATTTTGCTTCAACTACTTGTTTCCACAATTTGATTGACTGTTATACTCAGAAGCAGACATTTATAAAGATAATCAAATGGCCAAAAAACTTATGGATGGAAATAAAACAGACGATGTGCACAGAGTCTGTCTGCCAAAAACTGTAGAGATTTAACTGGGACAACCACGTGGCTGCATGCTGACTGTTCAGATTCAGATGGGAGTATGTGCCCTTTAGTCCAGCAATAATTTAACTTCATTAGACCAGTCAGATTTTAGGAAATTTAATGGCTTTTACTTTTTGTGCCAAATTGTGCATATTCTCAATGAAATGCCAGAACTGCAAGTCATCAATGATAAATGGTTATTTGTGACAATTTGTGGCATAAATTGATGTTTAGATGCAGTTCTGAAGCTTCTGGTTCAGTCAGAACATTATATTCTAAATATTACCACTCCTGAGCCTCAATTGCACCAGTCATCTGACGTTCACTTACTTGATGGGAAGCCTCCACCAAAGAACATGTTGAAGAGATCCTCAGGCGAGATGTCTGCTTCAAAGTCATGATGATGTCTGTGTCTGCTCGGGTGTGTTCTCTCCTCTCCATACTGGTCGTACTGCCTTCGTTTTTCAGCATTACTCAGAACAGCATATGCATTACCGATAGCTGAAAGATATACATACATATATATTTAAGAATCCCAGGGTTCTACGGTACCACCCACGGAAAGGTGATGAAAGATATAGTTACCTTTAAACGCCTCTGTAGCTCCAGGTGCGTGATTTTTATCTGGGTGAAACTTCAGAGCCAGCTTTCTGTATGCCTTTTTAAGATCGTCCTCAGAGGCAGTCTTTTCCACTCCGAGAATTTGGTAGTAATCTTTACAGCTCTTAATCCTGCAATAATAATAATAATAATAATAATAATAATAATAATAAAAAGACAATGAAAGTGCAAGTGAAAAACAAACAATGATTGCCTGTGCTATAGTTAGTTGAAGAACCACTTGAATGCACTTCCAATATTTATCCATACTCTTCAAAAGTAAAAATTTGAATCTAACCCCAAAATAAGATGATCAAAAAAGATAATAATTCAAATATAACAACGTTCACTTGCAGAAAGACTGTTCTGTTAAAAGTTAACATAATATTCTGTTCAACTTATTTTAGGGTCTGCCTGTGTTGTACTGAAAAACGCCTGCTTGTTGGAAAAGGCATCCATGAAGCAGACCAAAGAGAAAGAGTAGTGTTAAGTCTAACTACACTGACAGATGCACCTGCTTTTAAATTGGCCAAGTATGTTCAAGTATGATTGATGCTGGTTAATAAAAAGTGATACTAATCAATCAATCAATAAATAAATACATCACCAATCAAGCCGGTGACATGCTGCCACAATGTAGATATTATAAATAAAGCAGAACCATTGTACGCAGTGTTCAGTTTTCCGATATTTAGCTCGATGACGCCTCGGGACATCCTGCTGATTATTAAAGTGCTGATGCCTTCTTCCAAACCCACCTACCTAAAAGCCTGGTATTAAAGGGATCCACCATTAGTTGTAACATTAAACTTTATTTGATAAACATTTATTTTAACTGTAAAATAAATACTGTAACAATACTGTAGGCTGTTTAGTTTGTAATTTTTTAAAATATATTTTAACATGGACGGAGCCATTTTATTTACACACAAAGCATTCTGGGTAACCGATGACATCAACTAGGTCATTGGTGCAAGGATGCTAGCGAGCTATATCCACCCTGAAGGTTAATCTTGGACAATATCTGATGATCGACTCTTTTAAATGAAACCAGAGAGCGTTGACAGAGAGGAGAAGGTAGAAATGACTCAGCCTGTAACTGAAAATATGGATGGAGGACAACAGAGCTGCTTCATGGAAGAAGAAMCTCAGCTGAGCCTGTTAGCCTTCGCGCTAGCCCTCACGCTATATTGCCTTATATGTATTAGCTCGGCGCTAGTGTGACAAACAAGCTAAACTGAGGTCCTCCATCCATATTTTCAGTTGCAGCTGAGTCTTTTTTGTGTTCCCCTCTCTGTCATGTGGATGGAGGACCTCAGTGATGAGAGGAGAATGTGTAGCGCTGAGCTAATACATATATGTGGTGATAGCGTTGTGGCTAACGCTAAAGCTAACAGGCTAAGCTGAGGTTCTTCTTCCATGAAGCAACTCTGTTGTCCTCCATCTATATTTTCAGTTACAGGCTGAGTCATTTCTACCTTCTCCTCTCTGTCAACGCTCTCTGGTTTCATTTAAGAGTCGATCATCAGATATTGTCCAAGATTAACCTTCAGGATGGATATAGCTCACTAGCAGCCTCATGCCGATGACCTAGTTGATGTCATCATTTACCCAGAATGCTTTGCGTGTAAATAAAATGGCCCTGTCCGTGTAACATATTTTAAAACTTTTAGTTTAAAAATTATACATCCTACAGTATTTTTACATTCTTTATTTTACAGTTAAAGTATATGTTTATCAAATAAAGTCTAATGTTACAACTAATCGGGGATCCCTTTAAGGCACTACAGTAAACCAGACACACAAAATGTGTGTGCCATGATCTGCCAAAATACTGCAGTCAGCTGGCTGCACAGACTATATATAGCTCTGTCACTTCACCACTCAGCAGCTCAGAGCCGTAATGGTTGTCGTTAGTCTACAAGCTCCTATGATGTCGTCGGTACTTATATAAATCCTGCAAGAAGGCATCTCAGGCTCAGCGTGAGACATTTTGTAAAAACGCGTTGTGCTGTTTTCCTGCTCCAACACATTTGATTCAAATGGTTGCATAACCTCCTGAACATGTCAACAATTATGCAGAAAGAAGGTAATGACTCCTTTATTTGAATCAGGTGTGTTGAAGAATGGAGACATCTGACACATGCAGACAGTGGCTTTCAAAGACCAGAGTTTGACACCCTGTTTATTGACCAACACATATTTCTTTTTGTCAACATCTCTCTTGGGGGGGGGGGGAGCTTACTAGAGATTATTAGTGGTGACAAAAATAACACTAATCTGAACCACAAGGACAGAAGATAAAGTGCACTGACTTTCTGACAGCCTCCAGCTGCTCTGCTGAGTAAGGCTTTGCCGAGTCTGTGTGCTCGTGTGAGCCCGGATGAGCCCCATGATGATCTTTGTCCCTGCGGTGCCTCACACCGGCTCCATCTCCGTTCACAGCACTGCCATTTTCATCCGGAGGCTTTCCATTTTGAGATAATGATTCCAAAAGGTCTGCAAAACAGAGAGCGGTGCCTTAACAATTAACGTTTACATTAAGTTTGTTATCCAGCTAATTGATTAGCATTGAAGGTAACTACACAGAGTTTCAATGCCAACAGTAATAAATAAGTCTCAGTTTACGGCAACATGTAAGTAAATACAGAAGGAATAATTTGCAAATGGTGGCCAAGAAACTACAAGTACCAGTTACGGCTGGTAGCCAGTCATGCTAATGTTAGCTTATAGGTTTCACAGCGCCTGGCCTACTGATACCACCGCTGTCGAGATGGACGTTTAGTCGACGTACTTTTGGCCTGGTCTGTCGGAAACAAGCGCTGAGCCTTCTCCAGAAACTTCCTGGCTTTGTCCAGCTGGTTGTTGCTGACCGCATTCAGGGCTATTTTAATGCATCGCTCTGCTTCGTCCTTGTTGGAGTCCATCTCGATAAAACGGAAATGTTTACTTGCCCCGGGACGCACAAGAATGACGCCACCCGCTGTCAGACGAGTAATTAATACGTCACTATAGTCTTCAAGAGCTACTTTCTAATTTACTTTACTTTCCGATTGTTTTACTTCAATTTACTGTCATTAAAGGCAATTTCTTAAAAGTTAATACATGTATATATA